TGCCGTAGTGAGGGGGGGGGGGGGGGTTTACCAACTGATTGGTCCTTAGAAGAATTAGTCAACAATTTCCATGAAAGTGAAGTACAACATTTGGCACCTAGCTGACCAATAGCTTCCATGTCTGATTATGCCTCTCTACTTTCTTTTTAAACCTTGTGATTTCCCAAAACATGCAACTGTATTGTACACTGGCTTTCTACAGTAAGTTGAGGCTGTCAGTCTGCAAGAAAGAGGTTGCCATATGATGACAGAGTTGAGCCAAAGGAGATTTGTACAAAACAACTGCTTGCCAGAGAGCCAGCTAAACTGTGAAACTTATCACTATGGTCTGACCTAAATTTCATCCTCTTCATTTTAAGAACCTGTCCTCTTCTTCCCCGTATTTCCATATAAGGCACATACTTGGAGCAGAAAGTGGGGCTTACTTTTAGAACTCAAGCAGTTCTTGTTTTTGTCATGTTATCACTGGTGCTTACCTACACTAGAATTCTCACCTTGCATTAGTTCAATAAAACAAAATGCTAAAATTCAAGTTCTCCCTCATTTGCTGTTCTTTGGTTACGTTTCAGTGGCTGTTGAAATAAAGACAGGTTACGTATCATATTTGTCCAGTTAAAGGAAAGATGACATTAAATATCTGATCCTTTTATGAAGAGGTACTCATCTAATACCTAATGTAAGAACCCTAAGGGATTTTGAGGAAGGGAAGCTTATAACAACAATATTTTATTACCTAGACATATGATGTGAAGCTGTTCCCAATGCTCTCCGCCCTAGAACACACAGTCCATAACACAGTGTCACCAGAGGCGAGTCTTTACTTGAATCCAGTGGCTTGTAGTAACAAAAGAAAAAAGGAATAGTCAGGTGAATGGAGTAAAGAAACTGTCACAGAAAAACATTCTGCCAGAAGGAGTAAAGAGACCCAAACACATACAAAGGTATACACAAACTCAAGTGTGCATATGTACCTACCACACCAGTTGCTTCTGCTCAGACTTTCAACAGAAATTCTTTTTTGAAAGTTTTGCAAGTATGTAGAGTACTTGTAAAGGCAGACACACGCATACTATATTTGAAATAAGACAAACTAGGCTGAACAGATGCATGCAACATTCCTCATGGATACTGTTTATCTTGTGTGCAAACTGTTGATTAGAAAAATTATGGGGTTATGACAAAAATATTTTTAGTGAATAAAGTGGATTCTCATTTACTGGTGAGGAGTATATAACTCCTAAGTTAACTGAAAACTTCCCTGGACTACAACTTTATTCAGGGAAAACTCAGTCTAAGCTCCAAGCCAGTAGTAGCTATAAAGGGTATATAATGCCCTAGATAATAGTATCATTCATTCAAGTGATTAAACCTGATTTTCAATATCTACACAAAATATTTCACCAGATCATGACTTGGAGAGAAACAATTCTCTTTGGCTGTTGCTTGTCATTTGACTGCAGAATGCTTTAAATCTTACACTTGTTAAAATGGGCTTCTAATTAATCTTCTACTTCTAAAGTAAAGCTGAACTCTGAAGTCTCAGATCCTTCATTAAACACAAATTCCAATTATATTCCTTGTCCCTTTAATCTCAATCAATTTCTGCTTATTCTCAAAGGCAACACTACTTTGACTAGACAACACACAGGTTGTTCTAAACAGTAAGAATTCAAGGCATTCCTCTACAAACAAACTAACGTTTCTATTTAAAAGGCAGAAGGACGCAGAGAGAGAAAGAGGCTTGAATATGAGACGAGTATTTTCACAAGCCACCAATTCCAGTGGTCCAAAGAAGCAGTACAGTATAACCACTAAGGAAGATGCAGTCAGTCTTGTAGGCTGGCAACAGGTATTTGGTTTTTTGGGGGTTTTGGTTTGGGGTTTTTTTGTTTAAGTTAGGGTTGATTTGAAAACACTGACATTTAAGCACAAAACATCAGTTCTATAAACACACCCTTTTGTATGTAGAAAAATGCCTGACATATTCAACTGATTTATTTGAGCTGGTAAATGAAAATTCATTAATGAACAGGTTAAATCATACACTACTTAGAGAATTTAAATTCACATCTCAAGAGTGGAAGATCAAAACCAGTAAACTATAAATTAATATTTCAATTACAAATCTTTATTTTAAAAATCAATATTAAACCAGCCCGTAGGTCAAACCAACAAGGGAAAAAATTGAGGCCATCCTAGTATAGTGAATGGCTTTCCTCACATGTTCGTATTTACCTTTTCTCTTCGAGAGCAGCAATATTCTATCCAGTTCAAATATATCATACAGAAACTCTCTCTTGAGATCCCCGCTAGACGGTGGTCATAATCCTCATCAATATTGGGGTTAAATGTTGGATCTACATCAACGTAATTGCGGTCTGTGCACAACCGCAGTCCTTCCTGCATTGTCTCATTAGCTAACCATTCCTCTAGCTTGGGGGATGTTGTGACATAATAGATGATTCCCTGAAACAGCAGTAGTTAAACATATGAGTCAGTATTGCAATAAAACAAAGTCAGCAATCTCAATTGTTCCAACTCATTTGCATTAATTTCCTGGTAATGAACAAAACTGATACACAGTAGCATTTATTTAGCTCACAGATGCAACAAACTTGCACAGAAAATACAATAGTGTTTTGTATGCAGGTATATTTTTCAGAGACTGTCAAGATTTCTGAAGCTTGCACTGAAGGAATAAGGAAAGGTAAAAAGGACAGGACTCTAATTTTGCAGGAAGACAAATACATAGTAATCTTTATCTAGTTAACATGGAGTGTTAGATACTCAAATTCTAAAGAATTCAAATGCTAAATAAAAGACAAGACAGTTTAACACCCTTATGGGTTTTTTTGGACGGGGAACCCAACAATATCTGTGTGTGTATAAGTATCTTGGAAATATTTCAACCTGAAATTTTTCAGCTCTCTGAAAGAGGGTAGCTTATGAAAGATGTTGATTAGTAAACTGATGATGTGAGGGATCTGAGGCCTTGAGTCCTCTTACAACTGCAGGGCTTTTTTGGTGGGTTTTTTTTTGTTTGTGGGGATTTTTGTTTGTTTGTTGTTGGGGTTTTTGGGGGGGTTTTTTGTTTTTTTTTTTTTAAAAGACAGGTTTGGACAGCTTTTAAACACCGAAGCAGCTTGGCTTTCTCCAAGAGAAACACATTTAACTTTTCATTTACAACACAGCCGTTACATTTGGATAACAGGTTTCAAGTTTCTACTCCAGCTTCAGCTAGAAAGCATCTTCTCTCTGTTCTAGACTGCAGGACCATTGTCCTGCTCATGCACTAGAGCATCAAGTAATCATCAGTACAGCAAACTCTGTCCTCCTTTGATGAAAGTGTCCATACGTCTATAATTTGTACCACATTCTATGATCCTCATATGAAAGACATTAGACATTGAAGACATTAAGCAGTTCCCAGATGTAATCCAGCTCACCTCCCCCTTGGGGGTTGTACCGATCTGAATCATACCTTCACATAGTAAGTAGTGAGAATTTTCCGGAGATCAAAGACTTGAAGCATGGAAGCTGCACTGTTGTCAGTGATGCTATAACCCTCCAGAACATACTTTGTCACAAGCACTTCCCAAGCCAGCCAACGCTGCCCAAAGGCAGCATTAAAGGAAAGCATGTGAGGAAGGTGGCCTGGTTCACAACAACAAAACCCTTCATCTTCCTCTACACCTTCAGTGATGGCCTCTACTTCTCGTTGCTGGCAGTAAGTTCCTTAAGAGAAAAAAAGGGAAAAGAAGAAAGAGTTGAACACTTTTATATGATTGTTTTAATACTGACTTGTGTTTAAAAGTGTTTAGAATCCAACCAATCTCCAATTACATTTCTGTAACACCAAGTGAACAGTGCCAAAGAACGAACACAAAAGGTTTGGATAGCTTAATTTATCATTCTAGGATCACATTTTAGTTAGGTGTCTCTAAGAATCAATTATGGTAGCCATGTTGCACTACAACGGAAAGAGAGATTTAGCATCAACTCTGCTAGAGCAAGTTAGTTTTCCTCACAGGTGACAGGGCCATAAAGAGGCCCTGCAGCCCACTTTCAAAGTCATTAATTTACAGGATAGAACTGAAAAAAAGAATTAAAAGTTTCCAAAGCAGAAATCCACTTTTTAGTACAGACAGTTAAGGAAGTGTAATATGCTCACCTCTGAATTCAAGCCCCCTCAGCTGGAAGGTGACCAAGCCATTTCCTATCTCTATAAGGTGTACTAGTGCATTGAGGTAGTCAGAGGCTAGGATGAAGCAGTCCCCGGTACTATAGTTTCCCCATCGACCCAACAACAAGTCTCCACATAGGCTGTGCTGAAGGGAACGGGTTAAATGTTCATAGAAGATTGAATTCAGGTTGTTATCATCTGAACCTGCAGGAAGATTGGATTTGGGTTATTACCTGAATCTGCAGAAAAACATCAAGCATGAATGTCAATTATCACTTCACATTGAATCCTACAGTTTTCTTAACAGCAACCTTGTTTCAAGGTTGTTCTCCACACCCCATTTCCCCTTTTTTTAAATGGGCAACTACTCCAAATGAATGCTAAGTGACATTTAGTATTTTTGGTCAAATTTTCTCCCTCCTTAGTCACTCCTCCATTTTCCAAATTATCCCTTCAGTGCCACTCATGCATCTACCATCAATCTATTCCAGATAATAAAGTGCAAAAGCAAATGAGCACAGAAGTATCCCAGTAATGACTGTTGTATTGGTCTCATCACCATAACATTGAGACACCCTCAAATAATGTTTGGCTTTTTTTAATTACATAAGAATAAAAGTCAGAACAGCTTAATGCATACTATGATTATAAAAAAGAAGTAAAGCAAATACACATAAAGGTGAGGGGGAAAAACAAGAAAAACTTTTAAGAGAGCCTAAAGAATAGAGCAAGAGAGATGATAGAGGACAAAATAACAGTAGACAGAACAACAGGAAAGTTGGGCAGGGCTGGAAAAGATCTGAGAGCAAACTTAGAGGATTTGTATAGGATTCATGATCAAAGTAATTTCCTTGAAAAATATACCCCTATTAAAAAAAAAACCCACACAAACGACCGCCACCCCAAAAAAATTCCAAAGCCACCAGCAAAAAACACCCCCAAAACCAAAACCCCATAAACCAAAAACCACCACACCAGAAGAAAAGAAATCAGACTAGGAAAAAGCTACCTGGATTTCGATCAAGCTGTGAAGCCAGTCTTGTATTTGAATGATCCACACGCTTTGTGCTGAAAAATAATAAAATAAAGCATGCTCAGCACAAAATTTATCACTGTAAGAAAATCTAAGGGAAGAAATTAACAGAATAAAAATTGTTTAAAAAGTATTCCCACTGAAATAGGTTTTAAAAGTTATTTTAAAAAAGTTTATAGGTAAATTTGTTGCTCTTCTCATATGTAAAAGTATTTTCTGCCTATAATAGCATTATGATCCAATACCTAATAAAGTTTGTCCACAGTAGGTAGCCGTAGAATAATCTTTAGCTTTAGATCTCAGTATATATATTCTTAGATAGATATCATAAAGCTTTAGATGTGACAAATACACTTAAAACCAATTAAATCAGCATACCTGACATTCCATCAGACTTTACTGAAAGGGCAGTCTTCATAAGGTTATTATTTTATTTGGCTGAAGTAACAACCTTAAAAACTTTTTAACATAAGATTTGGAATATTGTATTTAAACTGTTCTAGTGTTAGAAGGAAAAAAACACCAAAGAAGCAGTGAAACGAAAAATTAGTTCTCCATAAATACCAGAACTACCCGCTCATCTAGCCCTATGCTGTTTATCTAACATTTCACTGGTCTGATAATCCATGAACAACAGTGGACTTTGGAGAAATAAAACACATGGAGGTATAATCTGACATAAAGAATCTTTTACTACTGATCCCACATTATTTGTCAAATACAGTTATGAACTGCCCCCCAAAACTTTTTTGTACATAAATTCACTGTCTGGTTAAATTTGCTCTTCACAATACTGTAATTTTTATGTTTAAAAAATCTCCAGTAGAAATTACATAGGAATCTAAAGCAAATGTTATGAGTATAAAAAACAACTGCTACAGTATTACAGAAACAAGTTCATTGAAAACTTTCAGTGCTATAACCTAATTTTCTCTGGGAAAAAATAGCAGCACTTGGGAGGAAAAAAATTCAACACCACCACAACCAAAACATTTAGCCATAGTTACATCACTAAAACAAAAGGACACAAACTTTAAAGGTCTTATTTCACTTACTTGTAGTCTCTTTCCCAGAACTTGACAGGCCTGGCATATGAAGTGATGAATATTGCACTTCCCAGAAAAGGATTCAGTGGAGTAGAGAAGAAAGCTGACACAGCTGCTTGGACAAACAACATTGCAGAATCTGTAGGATAACAGAATTAAGGAAAGCGAAGCAACTACTTTTTTTTCAAGCTTCAGTGATAGTACTCAAAATAGACAACACCACCAATTAAGAAAACCAAACAAACAAGATCTCTAAAAATTCTTATGCAGCCAAGTACCTTTACAGTATCTCCAACAGGAAGGGGATTGTTTTTGTTTTTAAAAACAGAAACGGGTAAAAATTCAGCACTAGACATGGTGGTCACTCTCTCAAAATTCCAGAGAATACTAACTCCACACTACTCAAACCAGTCTACAGAAGCTTAAAATGCAAAACTCAAGAACTAAAACTGTAGTTAGTGACTCTTGAAAAAGGGAATGACTGTCAGAAGAAAAACTGTGTCCTTTTCAGAATGAAGTAACTCCCACTCCATGTTTCTTTCATGCCAGAATTCTATTCCTACTCTATCTGCTACTGTATAATTCACAGCATTGCGGCAAGGCAGAAAGTGTGCACGGTTTTTCATTAATACTCACTAGACAAGCCTGTTCGTTCAGTAGATTTAGCCCATAACACAGAGTCCATTATAATGAGCATTCAGAAGTTATAAATACATGACTTCAGGGAAAAGTCTATATTTTCAAAGGATACGTGGCACAGCAAAGGGCTGGGCAAAAGCGTGGAAGGCAGATCCCCATGTGATCTGCCAGGGAGCAATGTAGGTATATACAAATCTCAATTTATAAAAGAGTTCCCAAAGCTACAGAAAAGGAAAAAAAACAAAAAAAAAAGAAAAAAGAGAAGAAAAATTTAGTGATGTGTCCAAGAATCAACATGCTTTGCAGTACACAAATATCCCGAGGAATTTCCTGGTCACACTAGAGTTCTCACTGGTCTACCAGAAGCCTTGAGACTTACAAAACGGATGTAATAATGAGGCAAGCAACATAATATGCACTTCATTCTTCTACAGAAACTCATGACATGTTTAGAAAGTTACATATGCTTTCTCAAGCAAACATAAGTGCTTTGGGAAGAAGTCTAATCCATGTGCTATACGACAGCTAACAATAGCAACAGGATTGATGATCTGGAAGATTATCTATCAGTTAGGACTATCTTTTTTCCCTTTTGGATGATCTGAAATACCTAGAAATAGAGAGTTGAAGTTACCTTGCTGAAGAGTATGGACATGAAGAAGAGATCTAGCAGCATGGTCTCAGTAAAACTTTTGTAATCAAAAGTAAAGAAGAGCACTGTGAAAATTACAGTGACATACTGGCACGTTGGGCTACTGAATGATGAACGCAGTAACTTCAAGCCAGCTATTGTGATCATTAAAGCACCCAACCTGTGTAAGAAATTCACAAAAAACAGTTACTTATCTGGTGTCCAAAAGGGGTTTAAAGACCACCTAAATTGTTGCTCTCATGCAATGCCAACCTCTTCAAACTCAAGGTTTAGATTTGGGTTTGCTTTTGGAGGTATTTTGTGGGGGAGTGGTTTGGTTTATTGGGTGTTTTTTTTTTTAAAGACAACTTCAGTTGTATTTTTTTTTTTTTTTAAGGTTACTATCCAAGTCTTTCTATGGGTATTCTCAAGCCAATCACTATTCAAGGATTAGCATTATTTGTAAGAGTCTCACTAAATAAAAATAAAGAAAAAAAAATTTATTTTCAGAGGTGAAATAATCCTTGTGCTCTGAACTGAAACCTGGTCTTTAATTTAGGTTATGAATATTGAGATGCAAAAATGCTAGTGCTCTACTAGCAAGATGATGTTAAAGAACACTGGATTATCATTATATCCTGCACGACTGTACTGCGCTCTATATAGTTTATATTGGGGGAACTGCAACTTAATGATAAGCTTAATGATATTCTTTTTTCAGAGATAGTAAATCACAGATTATAGAGTTATAAAAATAACATTCAAGTAACATAATGGCAATGTGTCTCCCAAAAAACTTGTAGTGACAAGAGTAATGAACCCAAAGCAAGAACTTACTGGACCCAGGGATTAAAAAAACACCAAACAAATAAAAACCCCCACAAATAAACAACTCCAAACAAACCACACAATGCAAACCCCCCTCAAACACAACAAAAAAACCCCACATCCAAAAAATCAGCATTCCCCCCCCAATACATGTTCCTTCTCCTCCTTCTTTTTTTCGATTTATTCTCTCTACAACGCTTTTGTTCTAAATCAATAGAACTTCAAATCCAAAAAAGCCACCTGGTCACTGTTCTCAGAGACAAAAAAATGCAAAGCCTACTATTGACCTACTATTGAACTTTCATTTGCTGAGACACTCGAAAATAATCCCTTGAGCAGTGTAACTAAGGCTCAATTTAAGAGGTAGTGTGCAGTTCCATCTGGATACAGATGATACTTAAGGGCTGGAAGCCCTGGGGAATTCCTTGATGAAATCAGAAAGCTGTAGAGGGGCTGCAAGCTGGCTTTCCAACTCAGGGAACACTACACAAGTCTCAAGTTTACACCTGACAAAATACCGGAATGTATTGTCACTATCTTGAAGTCTGGATAATCGTATTATAGACTCTGAATATCAACAAGGAAATTCTGATATCACACTACTAGATAAGTCTGCAGCCTGCAATCTTTATAATATATGTTATGAATTGAATGATTTAGCTTTGTGTGGGTTCCTGGTTTAACAGTGTAATACTCCATTCAGTTTAATTCAGCAAGGTGACTTGGTTCTGTAAGAGCTTTCAAATAAAGAAAAACTTTATTCCTTGCCTTAATTTTAAGGCAATTATTTAAGGCAACTGTCTTCCCATTAAGTCCAGAACTCACTATTTAATTCCCACCACAGTAGACATACTCAGATTACTTGATAGCCTTTTCTACTTACTCAGTATCCAGTTTCTTTGGACTAGCAATATTCTTAGCGCTGCTACTAAGCTCATTGAGGACTATCAGTGGATAGATAACATTCTTCTCTACGAAAAGGAGCCAAATGTGAAGTTTCTCAAACCACATAACATGTGCAGCATCTATCAAGATATATTAAAAAGAAGTCAGATAGTACTGTCAAATCAAACTCAGCTAACAGAATAAAGATTCTTGATCCAAGTAATTTGTGGAGCCAAACACTAGCTGTATTCTCATATTGGACTTCCATAGTTTTATCTAACCAAAATAAAGAGAAGCTCCTTCTAAGCTACTGTCAAGTAGCCCCAGTAGAGTTTGTGCACTGTTACACATCTATACAAAATGTATTCCAATATAACAGCTTGCAAGCAACTTGCTTATTGCACATGGCAAGAAACAAACTGGGTTGCCACCTCCTCAATAATTTCAGCATCAATACTGATGAAGCTGTTTGACATTACATGTTTTTATCTCATGCAAAAGGATGTTTTCCAACACAATCAAACCGCAGGATTTCTGGTTTACGACCCTACAATGTAGAAGGGCATACGTAACCTGCTACACAAATGTTTGAGACTTAAAAACTTCTTTTAAACTTGTACGATAATTGCAAAACATACAACAGGATTATTTCAAATTAATGCAAATGAAGATAATGAGAAAATTTATTTTACAAGGCAGTGCAAATATAGGCTGGAAGAGCCTATGTCAAAAGTTAATATTAAACACTGCTGCATACATAAAGGGTTAAAGGTATACTTGAAAGATGCTAGAAAAAGGCTGACCCCTCTTCACTGCTGTGAATAATTGCACACGCCTAGATGAGCCCCAGCAAAAACTGAAGTTCCTTTTCTACAGCAGAAGCCACAAGGACAACTAGTTAGTGACACGGCATAACTTTGCTTTAAGTCATAGGGACCAAACTGGAAGATGCTACAAACTTGTATTTAACATTACTGGATATTTCATCTTTCCCAAAAACACTACTACACATGGAAATACTGAAGTCAGGTATCAGCAAAAAGGCACAAACTGTAGTTTCTTTAGTTTCATAGATTAAAAGTCTAAGGCATAAAATTGCACTTTTCACTTCCTCCTCCTAATAGAGTTTGGCATCATATTACTATTCATATTTATCCATCTTTATACCCAATTACTGAAAAAAGCCCACAATTTAGACAGCAGTGAAAAGATCACACTGCGTAGCTACTGCAAAGGTAGGAAGTTTGCAAATCAATACTGGCAATTCTCTGCTCCTGAAAGCAGCAGAATGTTCTCTTTCTTTTCATTATGGTCTTACTTTGAAAACTAACTGAAGAGAAAAAAACAAAATAGCTTCGGTTGTTTCTGAAAAAATTCTATCAAAAATGGCTTAAGTCTGCTGTTAACAATAAAACTGTTCCAATAGTGGAGACCCCACAATCTATGACTACATTTATCCATACTGGAAATCTGATCCGCAGGATAACTAACTACGTATTTTCTGCAGCCTCCAGGGAAAGATTTCACGGAAATGTAGACTTTAACACAAGGTGCAAGCGGTGTGTGTCTATGCAGATCAACTAGCAAGGCTGGTCCCTTAGCATGTTTTTCCATTAGTAGGGCCACTTGCACTACTTTCTGTTGTTAAACAGGTCAACAATACCATTAAGAATCAAATCCATGCCAAGATGAAATCTCCCACATTCACCTAGTCCTCTAAAACACTGGAAAATTTACTATCTTACAGAAATACCTAGTGAAACACACTCAACCTTTATAAAAAAATTAAGGCAATCATTAGCACAAACTTCGCAACTTAAGATTTTGAAGACTGCGCTTCAAAGAAACTGCTCTGAGATAATGTTAGCACATGTAATATATCATCATCATCAGTTAAGAAATATATAACATGTCAGTTTCTCATGCTTTGATTCCATGAGAAACTAAGACATTTCTAGCTTAGATGTCATTAAATACTCCAGTGGTAAGAAAAATAAAGAAAAGAGACTAAGTGTATCAATAGGTAACACAAGTTAGTCAGCAACTACAGCAAGTTCGAAAGTGTCATGAATGATACTTACTTCGGACTTCAAACTGATAGTATTCCTTGGTTTTCAGCAGCGGGTGAGAAAAGCAATGCCAAGGAAGTTGCTTTCGGAGTTGAGGCAGAACATAATGGGTCACAAAGCCTACCGTACCCACCAATGCATACAGAACATAACTTAAAATAGGCTAAAAAGAAGAATTGAAGAAGTTAAGGTTTGTATTTTATGAACAAAATAATACACTAACAATGTAACACCTTTTCTGTCATCTAGGCAGGTGCTCCTGTAATAAGTTGGAACACATTTCTTCATGAAAAGCTGTACTACCAGCTTTAAGATCAAACAAGAAATGCCTGCGAGTCTACTTCTAACAAGTTTTCACTAAGTTGAGAAGTATTTTAAAGTAAAAATAGTACACCAATTTTCCTTCATAGTACACTGCTTCTGACCCATCTGCATTTCATTTTATAAATGATAAAGCTCTATCTATATCCTCTAAAGGCTGAACCCAATTTACATTTTCATCTGCTGGATAAAATAAGGTATAAGCATAAGGAATAACAAATCATTAATCTTATATTCTCTTGAGAAGACGGTGAATAAGAAGCCTCCTATCAAGACCAAACTCTAGACAAAATACTACTATATTAAGATGGTATGAAGACTGGATTTCACAGTAAGACTTTCTATAAAGTTTTCTCTAAATTTTTAGATATGTCACATAGGATGTGTCACAAGGATTGCATTACCTTGTTATAAAGTAACGATTCAGAAATTCTGTGAAGCCTAAGCCGACTGAACTATGCAACTGGTAAAGAGCATACAGCCAAGTTTCTCAAATGTGGGAGAAAGCAACAGTCAAGAGGAGTGCTCAAGTCCAGCCATAAAATAGAAGAGATATTTCCCTTAAGCAGATGTACTACTTTTATGTAAGTAGGACACTTCACCTGAAAATCTGAAGCTACCTAAAAACATAGGCTTTTTAAAATTAATTTCTTTTTTTAACTGTAGGTAGCAACAGAAGGGTAAAAATCTTTCTAAAATATGTGCAAGAAACTTTCATTTGCCTGACGTAAGGCTGTTGATAAGCTAACC